TATTGACGAGCGTGCAAAAAAAAACTTTTATTCTTGAATTATACGCTGTTTATAAAAATTTTCACACCTACTTATTAATAGTGCTTAATTTTATAACGGTAGCAGAAGAAAAGTTGCAGCTCAGTTGAATGGTGGCTCTGTATGTTCATTTTTGACAGCTGCTGGCGATGTTCAGTGGAAGTTGCAAATTCTTTGCAACGTAACAGTATTACTAGTTTTTTCTTTCTTTTTTTCACTCCTTTTTTTCACTCTTTGAAAATTTAACCTGTAATTTTCTATTACCTGGGCATTTTCAATATTTATGTCACACTATTGTTATGGTTGTTTTCTATTCTTTCCTTTTTTTAATTTTCTATTTTAACATTTACACGTACAATGTTTTCTTTTTTTAGGACGTCAAAAAAAATTTTTATTTTTTATCCACCTAAGATGTAAAGCTTTCTGGAAAAAACTGAAGATCAAAAATTGTATGTCAAAAAATTTTTTTTCTTGAGTACACATTCAAAGTGAAAGCAGCAAAGAAATGTGAACGGTGAACGAAAAAAAAAAAAGAAAGTTGAAAAACGAATAATGGCTGTGGTTGAATCATTGTATTTATTTTTTGGCCTTCTTCAACAGTTTTTGGGCTAACTGGTTCGTCGTTCACCTCTTACATGCTTCTTCTCCTTATCTATTCCTGTTGCTATTACTGAACTGTTAAAGGGTGGGGAAAAAGCAGTATAAAGTAAAAATAATTAATTAATTAGAGGTGGAAAAAATTTGAACTATTCTGTTTTTTATTTCTTTTTATTACCCTAAAATTACTTATTCTACCACACTTTTTTTTATAAAAAAATGTTTTGACTTTTTGTGAAAGACTCGTAGAACCAAAAATTGTATGTTTATCATCAATGTTTACTCACAGAAGTTTATATGTTATACGTACTATCAAAATTTCTATTATCAGAAGGATAAGAATGAATTTGTTTGGTGGAAATAGTTACAAAAAAAATTTATTAAATTGCAACTGCAATAATTTTACCGACTTTAAAGCTTTATATCAGTTTTGAGAAAATAAATATATTTTGAGCATTTAAGTTGACTGTTTCCCTAGCTTTTTTTTTGTTTTTTTTTTCACACTTTACTAATGCTATCTGTTTAGGTAGAGACAGCTAACCTTAAGCAGATTATTACGATGAAAACTATCCTCTTATACTGCTTTGGTTTGATGTGTTTCTTGATCAACACGGATGCTCATTTATCAGCTGCGGATTTGGTTGGTTTTTATTTATGATAATATACAACAAAAATAAAACAATTTTTAACAGATAGGGTACTTTCTTGACTT